GGGCTTCTCTATGAAGAGATTTGTTTTTTGTGACATCTAAGCTGTACAACTTCAAGAAATTATGGCAGTGCCCCACTTAATTTATTCTCTCATCACTCTGCCACCAGGTACACAAGAAACCATAGGAATCCAGAATTTAAAGAAACAAAAAAATAAATACATAAATCCCACTCCTCATGGCATCCAAGTACATTCTTTACTTTCTTGTCAAACCTATACGTCATCCCATGGTCCTCTCCTACAATTACAGTTTGACATGTGTTTTGTACACATGTTGTCCTCAAGTAAACAGCAAGTCCTCCTCAAGTCATGGTCCAAAATCAGAGCAAAGACCCCTTTTTTACATGGTGACAAAGAAAAAGAGCTTGAATCAACTGGCCTTAAGGCTCAACATGTAAAAGGAAAACCACCATAGGAGTGTGATTTGCTACCTAGAAAGCTAATCATATTGTAACAGTCTGCTCTAAATTCCCAGGAGGGAAACCTAGCCAAGGAAATCATCTGAAAATGGAAACAGCTAGATATAGGGATTGATGATCACCCAGGTATAATCTATTATATCACTTAACCTGAACAATTCTTAGGAAAGTACATTAAATGTTACATTGCTCATATAAAACCATGTGCCACGTTATATATGGGAGAGAATCTATCCACATTAATGTGCACACATACAGAATGAAGTACTGAAGAGGAGAAGACATATTAGGATTGGTAGAAGTCACATATATCCATAAATTTCTTGGACAGTAGTCGAAATTGTATCACACTTGTTATTTACACATATTTAGCATGGAGTTTCAGAAGACCCAATTATCGCCATTTTACAAGGAGGAAAACTGAACTTCATAAATGGACAGGAAGTTATTTAAACTTTATATATCTTACAGGAGTACTTAGCTAAGAATCTGGGCTTTTTTGATTCCATATCAGGCTTTAATCTGATTAAAAATAGGCAGAGCTAGTTTGGACAAAATCACACTAAGCACTCTTGATTGTGACCAGTGAGAAAGGAAGGGTCTCAGGACAAAGATAAAAATATGGAAATATGGACAGGAATCAAGGACCAAAAAAAAAAAAAAAAAAAATGTTGTTCCCATGGGCTGGTGAACAAGAGGTTTAAAAAGTTGATGACTCTAGGCCAGAAAATCTACTGCCAAGGTTTTCCATGGACTTTTGTTGTTCTTGTTTGTTTGTTTAACCGTCTCTAAGCTATCTTCCCACAGTTTAACAAGTTGGTTGCTAAGCAAAAAAGGGAGCTGTATACCCCACAAGAAATAGTTACATATTTTGAGCCTAAAGGCGTTTAAACTGGAGCTGCAAGCACACAGCCTCTGTGAAATGTTCACCTTAGAGAGGATCATGAGCATTGCACATGATCCTCAAACTGCAGCTGATTAACAATAATTAACAATAATGCACATTAACCAAGTAAACTCTTCTTGCTTTGTCAGTCAATAAAGTGTATGCCCTGTGCTCTGAAATCCCAGTCCTAAAATCTATAATGAATCCTACCCCCAGGTAGATTCTCCCCAAGTCTCTTTCTCATGCCCAGAGAGGTCTCTCCAGAGCACTCTTTTCTTGCTTGTCCCCTAATCAAACGATGCTGACTCCTTGCCTGTCCTCACCATTGTCTATTGCCTGTCCTCACCATTGTCTATTGAGTCATCTTTTCAGTCTTGACCAGAGGGTCCCAAGAGCTCATTTCCCAGTCTGAAACAACACCTCTCAGTCTATCCCTCTAATCAGTAGAGTAGTGAAAAGTGTCTGGAATACTGTTAATTTAGTCACCTGTTTTGTGGGATGTTGAGATAAGGTTGAGGGGCCAGACACCTACTGCCTTGTCTGTTGACACTAGGGTTAGGAACTTTTCACAGCAATAAGACTACCAGTTAGGAACTGGAATTATCCCACCTACTTTAGTGGACAAATTGATCTAATGGTCTACAAAGGTGTCTGGTTATTATGAAATTAAGGCAGAAAGTCTTATTTTTGTTATTATACTTTTACATTATATTCCAAATAACTTAGGAATGGTGTTCTCAAGGAGCTACTGAATATTAGCTTAGGATGAGCTATCTATGAACTACACCAGCACTGATGAAGGTTCAAAGTTCAATATGACATATCTCTATGTCCTACCTAGATATATGAGAGCTTTTATAGATTTTTAGGGAGAGCTTCATAGATTAAGAAGAAAATAAAAACCTGTGATCATATACCAAATTGCTGATAGAACCATGACTAGAACTCTGATCTCTCGTTTCCTAATATAGTTACTATCTAGCACCATTTCCATAATACCACCCTACTCTTAACCAAAATCAGTGTAGAATAATGGAGATAGAAATTTTATTTCAAATATCTACTGGAAAAGATCCTCCATAACCTTCATTATGCAATCCTTTGAGTAATCACACCAGTAATGTAAAGTAACACAACATTCATTCATACAAATTGGAAGGACTGCCTTGGAGCCAATATTCAGATCATTCCTGCAAAAGTCTAACCCGATTTCCTTTTACTGGTGACACCACAACAGCTACCCTTAGGGCTCCATGGTACTTATCTTTAGTCATCTGAAGATCACATAGTTATTAAAACAGTAAGTTTCACAATGTTCAAATGTTCATACTGAATAGTAAGATAGAATATTGGAGCTATAACTTATGATTTAGGGTCTTCCATTAACGTACCTGGTCTATTATCATGGTCCTCAGTCTAGAATTATGTTGTATGATATAATGACAACTACACACCTGTGGCTAATGAACACTTGAAATCTAAGTAATGTGAATCAAGATGTGTGAAATTGTAGAAGACACACCAGATTTCAAAGACTTAGCAAAATATATCATTAATAATTTTATAGTGATATGACATTATATGATAATGTTATATATTGGGTTAAGAAAATATATTTAAATTAATTTATCTGTATTTTTTTTATAATTTTCAGTGTGTTGGCTATATAAATTTATATTTGTGGCTCACATTCTATTTCTATTGGATTGTGATAGCCTAGACCAATGGTTCTTAACATCAAAGATTTTGATTTAACCATCTTGGAGTCTGGGTTTTAGTGTTATTTTTTTAAGCTACCCACATGATCTATTTATTTCATTAGACAGCCAGGATTGAGAAACTTTAGGCTAGATTTTATATTGTTAAAACTTGGGCTAGTTATTGGTCTTCTCAAAGGTCAGCTACATCCTACCTAGGTAGCTACTGGGCCTACAGGCCTGAAGAAACACCTCCTCTGCACTGGAAATAGGAGCATCAATACCAGTTCATTGCTATTTTGATGCCTGGCCCTGCCATTTACCTCCCCAAGCCATTTTGCCTTGCTCAATCATTTGGTTCATCTTTCTATAAATGCTTATTATAAAAATGACATTTCACTACAGTGAAATGCATCTGGATTTTGGTGACATCACTTGGTACAGTTTAATCCTTCTTTTAAAAAGAACAGCTGTCGATAAAGACATACAAGCTGTCTGTGCACAGGCCTTCAAGCATTAGTCTCAAAGGCACATGGTTATGGATTTGTGCTTTCTGACTATTCCTAGGATTGAATCATCAACCAGCAAAGCTGAGCTGGGATACCTACAGGCATTTGGAAATGCTGATGGAAAACATCAGACATGTAGATGAAAATATATTGGACAGTTCATTAGGAGACTTTTAGGATAGAAGAGGATGAAAGGTCATTTTACCCATTCCTCTCATTCCTTCACCTAAATCATTCCAACTAAATACAGTACTTCAGGACTTTGCAGCCCTTCTAGAAAAAGGCCTTTTTCATCCACTATTATTTGATACACAGATATCTGATACATAGTTTCTTGGATCTAATGTAGTTCCTTATTTTTCAGATGAGGAAAAAAGGAAGGAGTTTCAAGGAAGGGAAAATTCCTGTGAAAAACCAGAACTAGGAGGTAGAAAATTGTAGACTGCATTTTAGGTGGTCAAATCCAAATACCCTGTCACTTCCTTCTTATCACACTGATTCTGTAGCATTTTATCCTCCAAGTGTCCAAGTCACTCTGATATTGAGTTGAGGGCAGGACTTGAGTCTTACAAAATAATGCTATGGTGAGGATGGTCATCCGACAGTTTTCCCATGTATTTATTCACTCTGATACCCTCTGGCATGAAAGACTTGCCAATCCCATTTGGTGAATGGGTAAAATCTGAGGTTTTAATTGTCAAAGAGCTGATACCAGCTTATAACTCTAAAGAAGTTGAAGAGCTGAGACACCAGGTCAATGCTCTTTCCCCATAACATCCTGCTAATTAATGATTCAGAAGCAACAGAAATTGCTAAGTAGCCCTCTCCCAAAAGTCCCTTCTGTTAAGGGCTTGCTTCTTCATCGTACAATTTCAAAAGGGCCAAGTCATACGAGCCCTATCAGGTTGCCTGCTTTCCACCTCCACATATCTTAGATCAAGTCGCCTGACCTATGTGAAAAGCAAGATTTGCAATGAACAAGATCTAGTCCCACTGAGGGTAAGGAACCCAAACTCTTAAATTAACAGCTGAAAACAATCTTGAGACAACACACAAGGGTGTTTACACTTCCATAAATGAGAGAAAGGAGACAAAAGTAGCAGAGGGAAACAGGGGCTGAGGGGATCTGAAGTAAAAACAGAAAAGAGGAAAATCAAAAACAAATTAAAGAGCAACCACAGCAATACAGAGTTAAAAGGGTCTTTACAGCTGCCATGGCTAATAGAGAAATGATTTGTACAATGTCACAGCAGGTAAGGTGGTAAGAGGCAGGAGATGAGGATTGATAAATTAAATAAGATAAAAAGGGAAAGTATTAAAAATAAGAGGAACATAGATTAAAGGAAGCCTAAGTCCTGGGTAGGAGACCAAAATAATTGGGAAAAAATTAATAAGGGCCACTAGGACAGGAATGACAGGTGTTAGTCAGGGGGAAGCCAGGGGCAGAGAGCCAAGGAGACAGGAGAGGAGAGTGAAGGCTGACACTCACCCTCACAAAGCTGGCAGGAAACCATCCCTCCTCATCGTCGATCTGGCCCCACCACCAATCCTTGTTGGAAGCATCCAAGACTTTGATGACGTCGCCAGCCTTAAATGCCAACTCCCGGTTGGCCATGGTGACGTGATCCCATACTGCCTCAGCACTAACGATGGAATCTCCAGTGATCAGCTTAGGAGACAAAATGAGAATGTGTTCAGTCCGAACAGCTGGCTACCTTATTTCCTTATTTTCCCTTTACCCCACCCACAGAGCTCTACTACTTATTTAAAAAAAAAAAAACATACTAGTGATGAAGAGTGGGGAAAAACAGGGAGATGACACTGGGAGCACAAGCTTCGTTGTCTATAAGCAAGCAATAGCGTTAACTCCACCAGTGGGTAGAATGACCAAGAATGTGAATATGGAGTACAGAGGCTTCATGTTGTACCCCTTCTCAAGAGCCTCTTCCTTAGAGAAGAAAGAATGTTCTAACCCATAACTCCTTGGTGCTGCAAGGCAGCCTTGGAATGGGTAGAGAGGCTAGAATCAATGGCTAAAATATCATTCAAACAAATTTGATTTAAATTTTCTCCCCCCCCCCCTTTCTCTTCCTCTTTGGAACTGCTGCCACTGCCAGAGGTTCCATTGTACACACAACAAACCCCAGATCCACAGCCTCCTATTCTTACCCATGCATGATCCCATCCAAAGAGATCACAGGTGTGAAAGAATATAGCTTTCTGTAATGCCCTACTCCCAGAAAATGAAAGCTTGACACGATTCCTTCAGTGATTTGTTGAACTACCCTATGAGACATGTAGAAGGTCTAGGTTGACTTTTTCATTTGCTAGATATCAAAACGGTGTCACAAAGTAGTTAACCTTGATATTTGGACTTCATGGTAAGCAGGTTTGGGCTCAACACAGAAGTAGGCAGACATCTATCCCATTGCCACATGAACACACACATATATACACAATACTCATATAAGCACAGTGATGAGGATAGGGTTGGAGAATAGTCTGCCTCCCTCTGGTTACCATCCTGACCACTGTATTATTTGTTCTCTTTTTCCTTCAACTGGTTTCAGCTTATATAGATCATTACTCGTTTGAACAATTGTAGAAACAGAATCCACGTAAAGAGACTCATTCTTTCCCCAGCACTGAACTACTGAACATGTGCTCTTGTAGTCAAGAGTTCCTATCAGCTGACTTTAAGTCCCCAAGGACCTTTTACAACACCACTTCTCAAGTATTTCATGCTTCACAGTTTACAAAATGCTCACAACTACCACATCACTTAATTCTCACCCACACTTTAACGATGGAAAAACTGAGGCTCAGATTTAGTTCTTTGGCCAAACATAATAAATCATGGAATGTGGTCTTTTAACTGCATATGCTCTAATACTCAACATGTTACACTACCAATCCTTCTCATTATCTATATTGAACTTATAGCACTCCATTTATAATATCACAAACCATAGAGCTCCCAAACTTAAAGAATGAGATATGCACAACTACCTTTAGTCACTCATGCCCTGTCTATGAGGAAATTCATATTTATGTTGAACAAATTTTGTTCCAATTGCACTAAAAGGTGGTTTTTCTTGTCCTTGCCTCCATGGAAAAGATGAATTGCTACTTGTTGGCCTCAATAAAATAAATGTTCACAGAGAAGTTTTTACTTCTCCTGCCAATGATGGGTCCCAACTAGATATTACTGGAGTTCAATGAGCACAAAAGCCCCAACCCAAAGTACCATGAAGGCTTTTGGGTTAAAGCTATATATGCTTGGCTTTTATCAAGGGTGAAAGAGTACCTTGGAATCAATTAACAATCCCCTATTCAGTAAACTATCTGTGTTGCCATCTGAGGTCCCCTAGGTCCAGGTGTACTGATTACACTGTTGATACTCTTTTGTTAAAAAACATGCAGTCTTCTCTTTAGGGACTCCGCACATGGCTTTTCCCAGCAGCAGTTTGCGCATTCTTGTCCACATTTAATCCAGCTAATCTGCCTAGGCCCTCATATCACACAGCCAAGCACTGAAAGACACTTCAAAAACCATTGCTGTATACCCTCATTTTATAGATTTATTATAAAATAGGAGTGAGTCACCTGCAGTCACTAGATGGCAACCTGCTAGACCATTTTTTCCCCAACATAACACTAGGAATAGAAAAAGCAGAAGAGAACATTTGGATTTACAACCTTGTTTTACTACTTGCTAAATGTGTAATGAAATAATTATATTAATTAGTAATATTTGTAATATTATGTGTTTGGCACTATTCTAAGCAATTTACACACATTTTATTATTTAAGCCTCATAAGAGTCCTTTGAGAAAATAATATTTTATTCCTATCTTATAGATGAGGGAGCTAGAGCTCAGAGAGGTTTAAATAATTTTCCCAAATTCATAGTCAATAAATGCTATACTCAGAATTCAAATGCAGGCACAGTGTGTCTTTAGACTCCTCTTAGAAACAGTGCCGCCTCTGAGTTTCATTTGTTTTCTTCACATTAAATGGGTAAATTTATAGCCCTCTCTGCTTAATGAGCTATAATATGCTTAACCAAGAGTTCGCCCACATGTGTGTAGATATAATAGGAAGGACAACCACAAAGAAGCTGGTAACTCTATGGGTTCTTGTGTGCTACAGTCATAATGCCAACAGAAACAAGGGGATGCTTTTTCCCTGTCCTCTGATTTGTCAGAAAAGTAAACTAAATCTGGACTGAAAGTTGTTTCAAGTTTTTCTAGTATATAGCAAATTGACTTTTAACATATTTTTTTCACAAATATGCACTTTTTATCTGCTCATCCATTCCCTAGCACTGTTTATTCAGTGAGCTCTTACAGTGGGCAGGGAGGGATATGCTTACTGTTATAGAGCTATGGTTCCAACCTGAAAATCAAAGGCTCTTTGGGTACTAACAATGAGGTACCCTTCAAGCATTATGCAAGACAGTTAACAGCAGTAAAGCCTAGCTTCAATTCTGGGCCTTGCTAGTTTGGAAAGTAAAAGTAACAATGAGAGGACAGATGGGGAGTCAGAAAACCAAACCAAAAACAGTGCTGTTAGCATGTAGTTAGGATACCAAGGACTGCAGTATCACCAAAGAAAAGGGGAAATTTCAAACTATGCAAACTTTTGTTCAGGTTTCTACATATGCCAAATGGAAATAACAATACCTGCCTCATAGGCAGTGTTATGGCGAGAATGGACTAAAAACCTGGATATAAAATGTCAGTAGAAGACCATAGACAAATGTAGGATCCTATGTGGCTATTGGGCTCTAAAACCATTTTGTAAGTTACTGAAAGTAAGCCTTAAAGAATGCGTAGGTTTGTAACAGAGAAGAGAAAATAAAGGACATTTGAGGCAGAGGAACAAGATTAAGCAATGTCTCAGAGGTAAAGATTATAGGGAATTTGAGGGCAAACAAGTAGAGGAATTTGGAACAGACAAGGGATGGTAAGGGGAAGGATGACTAGAAAGGTAGGCTAGACCATATTTTAAGGTTTCTAAATCCAGTTTAAGAAAAGGGAAAAATCAAAGTTCATTCCACGGGGTGGGGACCAAACAAAGTGTGATCATAAAAGTATGAGGGTAAGATAAGAGGAAATGCAATTTGTGAATGGGAGAAGAAATGATTTTTTTCCCTTCAGTGTGTTAAATGCGGGGTGCCAGCAGGACATACATGTACATTTAAAGCTCAAGAGAGGTCAGAAGAGATAGTTATACAGTTTTGGGAGCCAAAAGCTCAGAGGAAATTATAGAAAACAATAAAAGTTTTCCCTTAAAAAAAGTATTTAAAAAGAAGGTACAAAACCTAGGCAAATAATAACAATGGGAAGTAAGGAATAGGAACCAGAGAAAAGAACCAAAATAGAACTGTCAACATGTAATTAGGTTCCCAGGGAATGGAATCTCACAAAAGAAGGATGGAGAGGGGTGGAGATTCATAATACAACTTTTAAACAAGGAATTAGATCCTATTACTTTTTATCTAGATTTCCCAATGCAATCCTAATTTTAAATATTCTAGCTCACTGATCCTAAAAATAGATATATCTGTTATTACAGACATGTGCCCTGACATTCATCTTGGAAATATGATCATCATCCCCTGGATGCATTGAGTTTTTCCTCTAAAGCTATTCTCTGATCAAGGAAAAATGCATCTACAGTTAACTTGGAATAACCAGTGGTCCCTTTCAAGGGGAAGGAATGGAGGAGTGGAAGATGGATGAATGGGAAGGAGGAAGGGAAACTTGCATTTGTTGAAGACATTGTACCAGACATTGGGTTTCTTTTGTTATATCAAGCTCTATAACTCTCCAATTTGTGAGGCTATCCAAGTAGCCCTCAGTCATCGTTTAGTAACAAGTAAAGAAAAACCAAGTCTCTACTTGGCCTTACTCTATAGTACTGCATTTATGAATCCTTCACATTTCCTGCAAAGAAGGCAGCTAGCTGTTTTCTCTCTAGGGAGACCTGACCACTCTGAAAATGACATCAAACAGTAATTCTCAATACTCTGGATACTTGTTCTAACAGTTTGCTAGGCCTCAGGAGTTTTTGGATCACACCATAGGAACCATTTCCCTTAGAGGACCTTAGTCTGGGCTCTAGAGTTGCATCTCCTGATTACCTCCCTCATTCTCCCCAAGGATCTCTGTGCCACCCTCAAGTTGGTATTTCTGAAAAAGTATATGCTGGTTCAAATAAGGAACATTCCCAATGTCAGGCCTTACCTAGAGATCACAGCTCTCACTCAGTTTTCCAGAGCTTTACAATTTCTCTTCTTGTTCTCGCCTTCTTGCTGAACAATGCCATCCCCAAAATAGTTATTTAATTAGCCTGGGTGGATGCCAGAAATATTAAAGCTTTAAAGGGAAGAAGTACAAGGGGAAAAGTTTAAAAGTTTTGTGCAGAACAGCAACTACCATGAAGGTAGATTAGCTGGGCCTGCCTTCTGAGAAACTTCTAAAATACAAGGAGGGGATTTTGCCTCTCCATAAGGTTTTCTCAGTTGGTGCCTCTCCCCATTTCTCTTAAAATGTTCCCTCATTTGGCCCTCCCTGGTGGCGCAGCGGGTTAAAGCACAGCACTGAGAATCTAAAGCCACTTCCGCATGAGTTCGATTCCCGCCTGCCCCGGAGGTGACCACAT